ACATCTTTTTTATTGATTTATTGCAACTTGTGTTCTTGAAGCATTACAAAATTTTCCAAACAAATTAAAGGTTCCCTCAGTTTACCTCTGATAGCCTCGAAACTTGTTTGGGTTTACCAATATGTATAGTTGCCATCTTTATCAAATGTATTGATCAGATAATCATTAATAAAGTAATTGTCTTTTGTGTACGTGAAGAATAACAACTAGTCTGGTGATTTCCACCTGATGTCCTTGAAGCTTTGTAGAGTTTACCATCACAGAAACCTTACTGTGTTTTGACAAATGTATTATGTAACTTTGCAGCACTCTTGAATATCATAATCACCAATTTTCCATACATTTGGTGTTTTGCTCAAATTTCATTTGATGAATTACAATACCTATTGTACCATATTTTACTTGTTTCATCTGTTCAAGTCAAGGACACATAAAACAAGTAAAATTTCAAAATAAATTTAAAACAAAAGAAACTGTTTCAATCGATTGAAAGAAAATAACTTTGACTTAAAATCAAAAATCAAATTTAATACAAGACAATTAAAATCACCCATCAATTGACACAGTAGAAACTATTCGGCAAACAAAGAATAAATTTTACATAAACCTCTAGATAGGCAATAATGAGAGAGTAGAAATGGCTAGCAGAGGGATATAGAAAGATAATGTAAGAGCCTGCAATAAAATAAAGTAAAAGCCCTTTTAAGGATACCCAACAGGAGCACGGAAAAAGACTTTGCAAGCAACTCAAAATAAATCTGGATTTATACCAAGACTCCAAAACAAAATAAAAATCTTGAAAATTGGAACTACATGTAAAATAACATGATGCCTCATTGTAACCTCAAGATATATTTAACGTGGTGGCCAAGTGGTTAAGGTGTCTGACATTCTGCTACCACTAGCCTCCTCCACTGGGTCGCGGGTTCGAGGCCTACGTTGGGTAGTCGCTATAGGTACTGGCCACAGGTCGGCTCCGGGAACTTCAGCTTTCCTTCACCGCCAAAACCTGGCATGTATTTAAATGAACAAACAAACAAACAAATGTAACAAAAGCCTGTTAATGGTTTGTTGTGTTACACAGTTATATAGGATGTTGATCAGGTTTTGGGTCTGTTATGTCAGACATCCAGTCACCTGAATCAGTAATAAATATAGAAGGTTTGTTCCCTCCCCTCTTCCCTCTACCTGACAAAAAATAGATATGAAAGGTTTGCTCCCTCCCCTCTTCCCTCTCCCTGACAAAAAATAGATATGAAAGGTTTGCTCCCTCCCCTCTTCCCTCTCCCTGACAAAAAATAGATATGAAAGGTTTGCTCCCTCCCCTTTTCCATCTCTCTGACAAAAAATAGATATGAAAGGTTTGTTCCCTCCCTTCTTCCCTCACCCTGACAAAAAATAAATATGAAAGGGTTGCTCCCTCCCCTCTTCCCTCATCCTGACAAAAAATAAATATGAAAGGCTTGCTCCCTCCCCTCTTCCCTCACCCTGACAAAAATGTGTTCCCTCCCCTCTTCCCTCACCATGACAAAAAATAAGAAGAAGAAAGGCTTGCTCCCTCCCCTCTTCCCTCACCCTGACAAAAACTAAATATGAAAGAGTTGCTCCCTCCCCTCTTCCCTCACCCTGACAAAAAATAAATATGAAAGGGTTGCTCCCTCCCCTCTTCCCTCCCCCTGACAAAAAATAAATATGAAAGGGTTGCTCCCTCTCCTCTTCCCTCATCCTGACAAAAAATAAATATGAAAGGGTTGCTCCCTTCCCCTCTTCCCTCACCCCGACAAAAAATAAATATATAAGGTTTGTTCCCTTCCCTCTTCCCTCTCCCTGACAAAAAATGAATATAGAAAGATTGCTACCTCCTCTCTCTCCTTACCCAGGAAAAAAGTCCAGATTTGCCTGTTTGTTTGGACTTGTCAGGGACTGTCTTTGTCTGGTGTGGATCCTCTGGCCTCTGTTACTGATGAAGGAATTAGGATATTTATATTGTCTGATGGGAGAGTTCTGCTAGGCTATGTTTAAGTGACCATCTGACCCATCCAAATGGTAGACACAGCCAGATCATTCCCTATTGGTCACTGTGACCTAAATGAATACAGGAAGCACATCGACTTTATCTATCTTTCCTGTCACGTTCACCTTTAACCATTGATGGAGTACTTCAGATTGCTGACCCCTGCCACCTGAGAGTTACCACTGACAGTGTTCTTTACAAATCTAGGTTGAGACTGGAAAGGGGAAATGTCACAACATTCCTGAAGGCCACTACAATAAGATGTATTTCACCTTACACTTTATACATATAATTTGTGGTAGAGTTAACTCCCTTACACATTATACTTGAGATTTGTGTAAGGGTTATCTCTCTAACTTACACATGTGATTTGTGTTAGAGTTATCTCCCTTACCTATGTGCTTGTGATTTATGTTACACTTATATCCCATGTTAAAAAAAAATGAACGTCTAATGATTCTGAATTACTAGAGATATTTCATGAAGTATTTGAAAAGATTTTGAATTCGAACTCTTTAGCAAAGCAGATTTATATTACAGTAAGCTAGGATACATCCTTAAGTATATAACCATAATATTATTTTCGTTTCCCACATAAAACTTATAGCATGCATGCATGCAGTTCCCTACATCATTACTGTTACAAATGTAAAAGTCATCATCTCTCTAGAGCCTCATTATGAGAAATAGAGCCTCACTTTAAGTTCTGGACTGATCAATGAGATTCCAACAAGTGTCAATTCAGACCTATACGTGTCCCACTTAAGCTCTGTGGTCCTAAATGAGTTGACCTTCTTCCAGGAAATTGAATTAGGCTGACCAACCCTTGCTGTGTCATCATTCTAGTGTCTCCACATTCCTGTAGCTACTGGATAGTTAGTTTATTATTGGAGGGATGAAAGTCCTGTTTAATTCCCTAGTTTTACATATTTAGCCTCTCAGTCGTCTCTTGGGGACATTATGTACAGGAAAATGCATATTGTATATCTCCAACATTGACTCGGCTGTATTTGAAAATTGTTTACCACAGCAGAATGTACACGGACGCATTTGATAAGCAAACAGGATTGGAGGTGACCAACACGTACGCCGGAAGTGTCTCTCCGTAGAGAGGGGATACAAATAGCTGAAATCTCCACAGAATATTTGTCTTCACACCTCCATTGTGTTAGAAGTGAGCTGAAAGTATCATACGGGACAGAGTTTTCCCGTTAATATTGTCCCCTCATTGTGTTACTTATGAAGCAACCATCTTAAGGGACCATTTATTCCATCACATAGGTCCTATAGATTGTGTTCTGAAGATATCGTCTGTCCTAGTAATCTCTTAGGAGAAGCCACTGACCTTCTACCATAGGCAAGATCTCATTATACTTCTACATTGAAAGGCTAGGCGTGGTGTCGTAAAATCTCTCCTTATATCACAATGTTAACTTACTTTATAAGTACGACAGCACTGAAATGCAGAAGACCAAGTGTGGTATATATTTTCATAGTTTCAAATTGTACATTGATGGCCTCATTAGGACATTGAAATGTACTACCTAGTTTTTCCGTTTTGGTGTCGAAAAAATTGCTTTATTTAAAATTAAGATATATTTGAAATGTCCCATACAGTTATCAGGCAACATTTACTGGAATTTCAATTGAGCCATTTCAAAAATAATTCTGCACCCACACAATTCGTACTTAAACCCTAGAACATATATTATTTTACAAAACCTTTCATAAAAATACAATTGAAACAGTTACAAAATGATTGAAATGTTACCTTTTTTTTAATAATCTGATTTGTTTAATTTAATTAGGCAAGCACGATTTCCAGATCGTGATTACTTTGATTTGAAGTGTCAGCTAAATTTAGGACCATATTGTCCCTGCTATTCTCAACAGAGGGATCATATAACGGTGATCTGATCTTGTTTAACTGCCAACGACATTTGGATCTGACAGTAGTCGGCACTGCTTTATAGACTTTTCAATAGGTAAAAATGAGTATCTGGTATTTTCTGTACTTTGTCAGACGACAGATGTGGAGAACGCAACCTACAGCTCATGTAAGTCACTCCTCTTACAACAAAAGGGATTGACATTCTAATGTTATTTTAGGCGAAAGCTGTTGCTTCATGATATGTCATGTATTTGAGATCTGTAGTAGATTATGCATATATTGTATTAATACTGTCAATATTGGGTGGTCGCTGGTGCAGTGGATAGCACATTCACCTTAAAATGCTTTCACCAAGGAGGCCGGGGACCGATTCCCCGATCCAAAGTGAAAAAGGTATGGCGTCACCTGTCCAACCACGGGGGTTTTCTCCGGGTACTCTGGTTTCCTCCTTTAAAGACCTTTTGTTGATTTCCATCTGTGACAACAAGAGTGATTAATATTAGTTGAAATAACATCTGTCATAATTGTTGTAAAATAAATATATAATACTGTCTACTATATTGCAGTCTACATTTTTTTGATCTTGTGATTTCTTGTTAAATTCTTTACAATGTAATTAAGATTTTATCATCATTTGATCCTCCCACTTATGTATCGCATGAAGACACAACAGCATAGGGAGCAAATGAAGATGTAGTTTTAATTAGAGTAAACATTTTCTATTAAGTTTGTCCCTTACAGTCCATAAGTTCAATAAGTTGCTGAATGCAAGTTTGTCTAATTGATTTTCAATTTTACCAGACTTTTGTCTTCAATAGTTCCTTGTTTAATTGATGTAAGTATTTGAGTGAAAAATAATACGGTCACTGTGATATTCTAGACCATATATCGTTTAACGGCAAATACGGGTAATTATGGACAAAATATTTTTTATTATAAAATTTGAATTTATAGTAAGTCATGGTCTGATCCCAAGGAATAAGTAATAAATTGTGGAAGCATCTATGACATGCTGTTAACATTGCAGTTCAATCTGACTCCATCAACATTGGGTGATACCAAGTCTTTCATATGCTTGTATTTGTGTTTTTCCAGGTGGGTTGCCTGCGCGGTATTTGGTGGCACTGATCTCGGGCGTAGCGGGTGTATTTATAGCCCTAGTGGTGTACCTCGTATGGTTTTACTGTCGTCAGAAGCGCACCCAGCTCAACTGGCACGGGTCCTCAGACGGTGAGGACTCCCCAAATACCGTGACGAACGACCTGAAGATCAGTCAGAGTACACCCGACCTGGTGCACCAGTTAATGGCTGAAAATGGCAGCATCAGTCACTCCAAACGTGGAATTTTTAAATCCACCCAACGTCAGGCCACCTTACCAACTGTCTCAGAGAGACATGTGTCATTTCAGCGACAACTTTCCCACAAGTTGGACTTCTCAAATATTGAATTTACGGTGCAAAGTATAAAACACAAGGAACAGCCAAACCTGGGCTCCATCAAACCGGAGTTGTATAAACAAGTGTCCATCGACAGTATTAAAAGTGAACACATGCTCTGTGGGAAACTTTTCTTCAGTCTCAAGTACGACCATGACCTTGGTGAACTAAAGGTCCTTGTGCACAGATCTGAAGATTTACCGGCAAAAGATTTTTCTGGAACGTCAGATCCGTATGTAAAAATATATTTACTACCAGACAGGAAACACAAATGTCAGACAAAAGTTCACCGTAAAACTCTGAACCCAGAATTCAATGAATCATTTTCGTTCTCGGTACCCTATAAGGAAATTACGTCGAGAACGTTGCAGTTTAATATTTATGATTTTGACCGGTTTTCTCGTCATGATTTGATTGGTGCTGTTGTGTTGAAGGACATTTTAAGTGAGGGCAGTTTGGTGAAAGAAACATATTATGTGCGAGATATACTTTCAGCCAATCAGGTGAGTACAATATTATTTAAATTATGCTTGTAAGATTGTATTTTCAGCTAATCATGATAATACATGTAAATTACTTGAAAATGTAATTCCAATCTATCAGGTAAGTTTACTGCATATGATAATCAAAACCTTATTGCTTGAAATAGTTATAAAATCATGATTTAAAAATTATTCTATCTTGTGATGATTTTACCTGGATTTGCATTCATGTTTTTACATTAAAGATGGAAGCCATGATTGCAGTCAATCATTTCACAAAACTGTATTATAGCATTTCACTACATAGACGACAGTGTATAGAGGGTGGTATAAAAAGAATGTTTTATAGAAGGCAGAATACAGAGGGAATTTTACAAAGGTGGGACAAATGAGTAACGAGTAAAGAATAAATGAGATAATATTGATACCAGTTTATAGAGGAATGGTGTCTAAATGGCAGTGTATGATATTATAAATACTACACTCATTAGAGTGTAACAGTACCTAGGGTCAGCCCGAGGGTATCACTGTCACCTGGGGCGAGGCCAAGGGTGACAGTGATATCTGAGTATCAAGTCAAGGCCTGTATAAAGCGGGATGTGTGAAGATGATTGAATGCATGTATGCAATTTAGGGGCATTCTAAAGAGATTGATGTGTATAGTAAATCGAACATTTAAAAAATAAGAGTGGCTTCAAGAAAGTGGTATTTATAGAGGTACAAGTGTTTTTTGGAATAGAAAATAGCAACATATACGGTATATGGTAGTTTGAGTTAATTGTAGAAAACTTTGCATCTTTCATCATTGATGCATACTGGGAGCATGAACTCCTCTAGAGGCTCCTCAATCTATTTCTCTCTCTCATCTTTATGTACTACATTGGGAATCTGACTGCCTGCAGGTTGGAAACTGGAAAAATTAAATAAAAAATAAAAATATGCATTTAATTTTAAATACAGGTATTTATAATATTGGTATAATATATTATAGGACCTCTGAAATAAAGGGGAGGTAATCATAGAGGATGATGGAGAGCTCTTTTAAAATTCATATCGCTTGGCTGTGAATTCCAAGCAAATACAAAATGAAGTACTCATGGGAGACTAGTCTTTTATGAGCAAAATGGCTAGCTCTCTATATCAAAGCCACATAATCCTTTATGAATTGTTAAGTTTTCTGGTGGCATCTTTTGTGTTTTTATTTTCTTGTTTTACAAAATCGGAACTGTGAAACTTGTTCAGATTGAAATTAAGTCAAGCTCAAAGGTAATTGTCAAATTTGTATGTGATAAATTTATGTACAGCTAAGTGACCAACTTCTCTGCTTTTTGAGACAAGGAATCAAATGAAACATACAGGGAAGCACTCAACCTGTTGGAATGTTTACCCCTAGAATATCACAGACACTATACTACACAGGAAATGAAGAAAACATTGACACGGCACGGCCATTGTTGACACGGACATGTTATTTATTCTTCATCTCTCCGTAATCCCGTCAGACCAAACATGCGAGCACATAAGAATAGTGCCTCATTTCCTCCATCCTGTGCCTGGCGTCGTAGTAACACGTTTCCACTCAATTGTGCCGTTTCATCACATCCATGATATTGACCTCGTACAACACCAAGTGTTAAGTAACCCATGTTCGTCTTTGATCAATTCTTTAGCACTATACTTTATCACATTAAGGTGTCGACAGGAAATGCATCAGGTTTTATTTCAAGAGGAAAGAAATGTGATCTAATAATTTTTTACTTGCAAGTTCATTTTGTTAGCTTGACTTCTTATTGAAAATAAGCAATGTTGATTAGTAAAATATACCAGATAAAAAAAAGTATAGGTCAACTACAAATTCCATAAGAAATATTAAAATGATTAACCATTGGAAATTATGTAATAATAATAATAATAATTTGAGGTTCTTATATACTGCTTTATCACAACCTAGTTCGTAGGTCGTCTCAAAGCAGTTCACAAATTATTATCCGTGGTTATAGGGCCTTTGCAACCAGCCAATATTGTTCTAAACTCCCTGGGGAGCAAACAGCTGATGCTGCCATTTCGGCGCTCACAGCTAGCATTCTACAATTCTAGCACTGCCCAACCATGTACTCATTTACAGCTGAGTAGACTGGAACAAGTGGAGTAAAGTATCTTGCTCAAGGATACAACACAGTGCCGTGCCTCGAACCCGCAACCCTTTGGTCACAAGCCTGGCATCCTAGCTACAACTAGACTACCGAGCCTCCACATGTACATTTAATATAGGAAGATTTTTGATATTTAATAGTTAACCATTGGATACTATGTATATTAAATATAGCAGAATTCTAATTTGAATGGTTAACCATTGGTTATCCAGTATATTAAGTATAGCAGAATTATAATTTTAATGGTTAACCATTGGATATCTTGTACATTAAGTATAGCAGAATTACAATTTTAATAGTTAACCATTAGATATCCGGTATATTAAGTATAGCAGATTTATAGTTTTAATGGTTAACCATTAGATATCCAGTATATTAAGTATAGCAGAATTATAATTTTAATGGTTAACCATTGGATATCTTGTATATTAAGTATAGCAGAATTCTAATTTGAATGGTTAACCATTGGATATCTTGTATATTAAGTATAGCAGAATTCTGATATATCATGATAAACCATTGAATATCTTGTGAATTTAGTATGACAGTATTTTAAAAGAACAGTAATCTGATATTAGATGGTTAGCCATTGGTAATCTTGTGTATTTGTAAAAAAGAGATCTGATATTTAATTATAAACCATTGGATATTTTGTATTAAGTATCACAGTATTCTGATATTTAATGGTTAATCATTGGATATCTTGTGTATTTACCGTAATATAGTAGAATTCTCATATTTGATGGTTAACCATTGAATATCTTGTGTATTTGGTATCATAGATTTCTGATATTTGATTGTTATCCATTGGATATCCGGTATATTAAGTATAGCAAAATTCTGATTTTAATGGGTAATTATTGGATATCCGGTATATTAAGTATAGCAAAATTCTGATTTTAATGGTCAATTATTGGATATCCGGTATATTAAGTATAGCAAAATTCTGATTTTAATGGTTAATTATTGGATATCCGGTATATTAAGTATAGCAGAATTCTGATTTTAATGGTTAACCATTGGATTTCTTGTGTATTTAGTATGGTAGAATTCTGATATTTAATGAGTAACTATAATGGATATTTTGTTATTTAATATGACAGAACTCAAATATTCAATGCCAACCATTGGCTATGTTTTATATTTAGTACGACAGACAGAATACTGATATCTCCACAAAGGACAGATTCAAGCATTCCAAGCTACCATAAAGAAACAAAAAGTAATAAAATTCCTCATTTTGCTGAAACACTGATGCATTTTCAGAATTTTCGTTTATTTGAAACCTTTCTGAGATTATGTGTTAATGGAATGTAGCAGTGTGTACGTATGTCTTCACCATTGAATGGCTGAGTAAATATTGACATTTTGTAGTTACTTAAAGATCCATTACTTGCAGAATAGCCACCATTTCAAAACTGAAGAAGTGTTGTATTTCTACATGCTCATTTTTTGTATGGTACACAAATGTACTAAACTGTCAATAGAAACTGATGATTAGGTTTTAAAACCTTAATGCTGTCATATTCATCAGCTAACAGCATGTGTACTTCGTGAAATTCCTTTATTTCAACTGGTAATGGCAGTCCATCAATTTTAAGGCCAATCAGAAGAATCCAGTATTGCATTAAAAAACAAAATTGATTTGATAAAAGACTACAATTCAAGTAATTTCCAACAAACTTAGTTACTATCCATTTTGTTGTTAGTGCTTTCTTCCCCATGCTGGTGAATGTTAGCGGTACTTTTTCCCAGAAATTAAGACCTCTCTAAAATCCCTGAGGAATAATTGTGTGAAATGTGTGAGACTATTTATTTCCTTGTCAATGGGAAAGACATTCTCTATAACCACAAGAAAAGTTGATTCACTGATTTGGAGAAACTGTTTCAGGATTTTGTTTCCCCCAGCAAAATCAGACTTAATAAAAATACTGATCAATCTTATTTGAAAGGGATGCCTGAGGAGGTTCTTCAAGTGAATAATTTGTTTTTAAGAACACATGGTTAATGTTGACAAAAATGGACAATTGTGCAATATTTGGGGAAGTTACTTTGATGACGAAAGTACCTTATTGTTACAAAGATTCTGAACTGACTGTCTGTATCAAGAGCTCTGATGACACTGTTACAGTCATACAGAGGTCCAAGGCTTACTTCTGTCTGTGTCAAGAGCTTTGATGACACTGTTACATTCATACCGAGGTCCCAGGCTTACTTCTGTCTGCGTTTTAAAGACTCTTGATGACACTTTTCCAAGGTTTCCTCTTCATGATTCTGTAAGTGTAAAATTGATGACACTGGTTTATTTTTATATATTTATTTTATTTTCAAAAGAATTTTTTCAATACAGTGACAATAATAATGGATCAGTAATTCATTCAGATCATATAATTATAATTAAGTATTTGTCACCAATCATCTTTCATATCACCACTCATGCCATACAAATTATGCAAAAGAAATTTGTATCACTAAAGACTGCATATGGATAGGTATTATTTCATTTAATATCACACTGTATTGCTATAAGGAAGAAGGAAGGATAAAAGGAAAGAAAAAGAAGCTGGTAAGAAAACAAAAAAGAGAAAGAAGAAAAGATAAAGACAGATATCAGAACAAGCATGTCAGGGAAGGAAGTAAAAACAAAGCTAGATACTAATTAAAGTTAAGTAACAGAATTGTTACTGAATAATTAAGATATCAGCCTGAATCATGTTATCATAGCTGTCAACCCTCCCTCATTTGGAGGGAGACTTCCTCATTTTGACCAACATTTACTAATCTCCTGGAAACTCCCTCATGATAGTCCAAACTCACGCCAACTCAAAGTCTAGATCCTGTGGTCATGTGATCTCCAGGTTACTGCAGGGTGTATGTAATGATCATAACAGGTGTGTCTGAATCAAATGAACGCTTTTTGGAGTTATTTTGAGGCATAAAAAAGGGACAGATAAATTGAAGAAAGCAGTTTCAGTCGTGTTTCACACACTTTCTCCCTCATTGGAAATGTGGAATGAGGGAGATCTTCCTTATTGGAGGTTTCAGAGGTTGACACCTATGTGTTACAGAATTTTCTTATTGACTCTGTATTTGAGCAATAAAAGTCCTAACGATATCAGGGTTTCCAACTTTGTGAGTGTAAATGAGTCTTGATGAGCAATACCGGTATATAGTTATTTGGTGAAAAATGTTGCAGTGTGTCATAAACTAAACAGGGAACTATAAAATGGCAACTGTTATAACTCAAGCAGTCATAAAAAGTCAGCGTGTCAATCAACAAATTCATTTGGCAATAGAATGGCCCATGTCTAATCATAATAACTATAAAAAATGGTCACCAAGGATGTTTAAACACCAGAAAATTAATGTGAATGTCCTCGCTGCGGTGAAAATGGCAGATAATTGCTTCAGTTAATTATTTCAACTTCAGACGATTCTAAAAGCTCCATGTATTATCTCAATTATTCTAATAATTTCTAAAACAATCCTTCATCATTTGTTGAAATGATATTTTTAGTACCTTTGTCTTAATACCGGTAAGTTTATTTCTTGAATTATTCCAAATTTTCAGTTTAAAAACATCGCTGTTTTAACGGCCGTTCAACAGGGGATAGAATAAGTAGCCTAGCTATTGTGTTTTAATTTGAAAGCATCCAAAGCTATTCTGTCCTCAATTCTTTAACTTTATTCTCAGTTGAATATTTCATTCAACTTTTTAGATCCATTTGAATTCAAAAACCAAATCCAGATGAACACTTCATTAAAAAACTAAATTCAGAACTGTATCATTTTCTTTGGGGTGGAAAATTGACAAAGTAAGAAGGGGTATTATCATAAAAGACAATGCAGAAGGGGGGCTAAAGATGATACATATTCATTCTTTCATTAAGGCATTAAAACTAACATGGATCAGGAGACTATTTTCTAAATCTAATAAATGGCAATGTATACTTAACAAAAATATTGATATAGATATTATGGCTAACTGTGGATCAGAATACTATATAATATATTTGTGAAAAAAAATGCAAGAATCCATTTTGGAAAGATGTTCAAAACTCTTGGAAAACCCTCCATGATAAGGAAGAAAATTTGATAAATGGGAATAGGACAATACATCTATTTGGCATAGTACATTTTTAACAATAGAAAATAGAACTGTATTTTATAAAGAATGGTATAAGAAGGGAGTAATTATTATCAATGATATAATAAAAGACCTGAAAACAAGTCCTTTTTATAATTATCAGGAAATTATGGAGAACTATAACTTAAGAACTAATTTCCTTATCTTTGAAGGAATAGTTAGAGCAGTAAGGAAATATCTGAGGCATAAGGAAATAGTTAATGATGTTGTTAGTTATCCTTTTATTCCACTTAATCTTGAGATTTTCTTTAAAAATATTAAAGGGTCAAAGGACTTCTACAAGATACTCTGCAAAAATAATATCACAGCAACAGGTAAAATAAAGTGGAATGAACTCTTTAATCTAGATTATGAAACATGGAATTGAATATATAAAACACCCTTTCAAGTTTCGAAAAATTCTAAGTTACACTGGTTACAATACAGAATAAATCATCACATTTTAACAACCAATTCCCATATATTTAAGATAGGATTGGTAGAAACTCCATACTGTTTTTTTTGTAAAACAGAAATAGAAACGATAGTTCATATGCTATGGGAGTGTGAAAAAGTACAGTCATTTTTTTCAGAACTTTGAATTTTTATTAGACTCATTATTTATTCCATTTACTTTTAATAAGGAAACTTTCATTTTTGGCCTGCATAACTATAAAAGTACTTACTATACAACTGATAAATTTATACTACTAATAATGAAACAGTATATCTATAGATCAAGATGCTTGCAACAAACTCTATCAATTCATGCTTTAAAAAATGCTATTTTAGATCACTACAGAATTCAAAAATATATTTCTATAGGCAAAGGAGTGGATACTGCTTTAACAATGGAAAATTCTTGGAAGAAATGGAATAAATTATTAGAAATCACTCCCAATCCCTGACAAACCCAAAAAGGATAGAAAACATGTGTATATTTTACCTCTGTTAGTTAAATTTTGATTAAAAGAGAGAAATGTAACTCCCTGCCCCTTTACTGTTGATTTTTTTTTTTTATTATGTTTCAGGTTAAATAAATAGTTGGACTAATAAATGGACACACATGGACTCAACATCTTTACCACTTTGACCGCTTGTTGTCTTCTCATGCTTGTTGTGGTCTTATTCTGTAATGCTGAAAATGTTTAAAAAAAAATTAATATAAAAATAAAAACACTCTGTCACTTCAAAAGTATCAGATGCTTATATGAATAACAACAGATAAATCTCAACTCACTGCTGTAGAGTGAGTTTTATCATACCCTATTATTGGTTTTACTAGGAATCAGTAGATCAGCCTGTTATGTTACTGAAAGACTCAATGCACTTATGAAACCATTTCTTCAACAGTAAAAGCTTTTTGTGACAACCTTTTGAACGGTGTATTTTTCAGGACTTATACAATTAATATTTTTTCATTTAACACATTAGGGAATACACAGGAACACAAAAGCTATTTACCTATAGCTAATTACTCACTGTGTCACTTGAATTTTTTCCATTAGCCTACTGACTCATTGAGAAAAAGATCAGGTTTCTGTTGTGTGAAGCAACTTAGAGTTGAAGAAGCCTTTCTGACTTGAAGAACATCAGTTTCCCATCATGCCAATACCTAATTGTACATCTGGGTAGACTGGGTCAATCAGGATATAGTGTATTGTTCAATAGTTAAATGCTGCAATCACATTCTAATCCTTCATCATTTGTTGAGTAATGTAACGAATTAATAAAACTGCCTCTCAGTTCAGTATTCAGATGATATATTGTAGTTGCGAACCAGTTTTAGATGAAAAAGCAAACAACGTAAATCTGACAGTATAAGTGTGTGAGTTAGGTTCAGGCACAGATGCCTTCCGCCTCTGTGCGTGGTAAATTATGCGTATATCAAAATGTAACGTTTTATGTGATTGTCATGACAGAGAAATTAAATATTTATTACGATTCCCGTTGAGAATGGCCAAACCAGGATTCTATTTATCGAACTACTTCCTGTCCCACACACAGTTAACAGGATATCAGTAATGTCAATATGACGGAGGTTAATAAATCATTGATTTATCTAAATTGTATGTTCCATGTTAAAACCTGGTCATGATTTTGCCCTAATGAGTACTATATATATTCTGGTATGTTATCGTCACAGATACACCTTTTTACCAAACTATTGACAGACCTCGTTATAACCTTCAGTTTGACTCACCATTCCTATAATATTGATTACTTAAGCGTGTCTTTTGTGGTGAAACACACCTTTTGTATTCATGTGTTAATTCTTATACTTTATCATATTTATGACAATAAAACTTCTCATGATAGGACCAGCGATTTTTCTATTATTGTACAAGATTTGCTGCTCACCAATGCCATGCTTTATAAGCAGCATGGATTGCAAAATAACTATTCAAAATATATTTCCTTTCCATTCAGGATTTTCCCCTATTTGTTTTACTGTATACTGGGAAATTTCTGCCCAGTCAAACTTTGCTCTATGGTGGTAAAGTCTGTATTGGCCTTATGGTGGTGAAGCCTGTATTGGCCCTATAGTGGTGAAGCCTGTATTGGCCCTATGGTGGTGAAGCCTGTATTGGCCCTATGGTGGTGAAGCTTGTATTGGCCCAATGGTGGTAAAGTCTGTATTGGCCCTATGGTGGTGGAGCCTGTATTGGCCCTATGGTGGTGAAGCTTGTATTGGCCCTATGGTGGTAAAGTCTGTATTGGCCCAATGGTGGTAAAGTCTGTATTGGCCCTATGATGGTAAAGTCTGTAATGGCCCTATTTTATAGTGACTGATATATGTTTAAGCATTATTTTTCAGCATAGATAGATCACCTTCTAATTAGATACAATCTACAATATTCGCATATTTTTCCAGTGATGACATTTTTTTTTATTTTTAATTTTTAAATACTGATAAAAATTGGTTTATGATAAGATTGTCACATATCTCAAAATGGGAGAAATACTGCAACTGTTTTGTACATTAAAGGAGAAGTTTGACTTTGGAGAGTTACCTCCCCCTAACTATTAAAAGTTGTGTTTTGCACATTACAGGAGAAATTTGAATTTGAAGAGTTATCTCCCCATAACTATTACAATTGTGTTTTGTACATTTCAGGAGAAGTTTGACTTTGGAGAGTTACCTCCCCATAACTTTTAAAGTTGTGTTTTGCACATTACAGGAGAAATTTGAATTTGGAGAGTTATCTCCCCATAACTATTACAATGGTATTTGTACATTTCAGGAGAAGTTTGACTTTGGAGAGCTGATGGTATCACTGTGTTATCTCCCGACGGCTGGAAGACTGACGTTGACTGTGGTCAAGGCCCGAAATCTAAAGGCCATGGACATCACAGGTTCATCAGGTATAGTTTTATACCGTTAAACTTTGTTACTTATAGTATGTTCACCAATGGAAACATATTTCTGAGATAACGGCATCATCCAATTTGTTTTTGAAAAAGAAGGACCAAGGTGAGCTAATGCCACACTGCGGCTTCTGTTTATTGTCAGTCTGTGAACAAATTCTTCAAATGACTTCTCCTTAACTACTGATCAGAATTGAACCAAACTGATTGAGATTCAAACGTGATGAGGATTTAAAATTTTAAATGGGGGCTGTGGTGGGGCCAAAAAAAGGGTGATTTGGCCATATTGCTTTACGCAACTTCTTCTCTGAAACTATGAGAATATCAACCATAATTGGTTGGAAGCATCCCTATTAAAGGATGAAAAAAAGTTTGTAACTTGGAAATGATCAAGATCTCAACCCTATAACCACATATACAATTGCTGAGTATAAAGAGACAAATATACATATAGTTCCAGGATTACCCTTGGGTCTGGCCCCACCCATGGAGACTTAGTCTGTGGGTCATAACTTTAAAACAGTTGCAATCCCCACTCCATAATCAAATATACAATTGCTGGGCATAGAGGCAACACAATAGTGGTATTAGAATTGACGCTGGGGACTGGCCACATCCCGAAAGACTTGGTTTCTTTGTCATAACTTGGAAACAGTTGAGATCCCAACCCAAAAACCAGATACACAATTACTTGGCATAAAGAGACAAACAGAATCATGGTATTAGCGTTGTCCTAGAAGTATCATAACTTTTAAATGTTTGAGGTTCCCACCACATAATCATTTATATATATATATAATTGCTGGGCATAAGGACATGAACACCACCACAATATGCATTTCAATTAACCCTGGGGTCTACTCCCACCCAACCCTGGGGTCTACTCCCACCCAACCCTGGGGTCTACTCCCACCCAACCCTGGGGTCTACTCCCACCCTTAGATTCTTAGTTCCTGGGTCACAACTTGGCAACAGTCACGATCTCCACCCCAAAACCAAATACACAATTGCTTGGCCTAAAGAGACAAACACAATCATACTACCAGTGTGCCTTGGGGACTGCCTTGCTCCCATCCACAGGGACTTTGTTAGTCCTCCAGTCATACCATGGAAGCATTTGAGATTCCCACCATTAACAATAAATCAGTTGCTGGGATGTGTGAGAATTTGGATACACAAATGCTGGCAGGAATTACCTGGGGACTAGCGGTATGCCTGGGTTGTTATTTGTCATACTACTCTTTAATATCCAAGTGAGCAGTACAGGCCCTCTGGTCCTCTTGGTTTTTTTCTGTGACCGTATATCACATATAGGGATCCAGAATGTATAGGCCAAAAAAGAAATAACAAAACAACATTTTTCATCTTTTTTTTGAAAATGAATATACCCTGGTAAAACAGATACATTGGTTTGGTACACCATTTTTAGCTCACCTGGTCCGAGGGACCATGGTGAGTTTATGCCATACTGCAGCATCCGTCGTCCGTTCGTCAACTTTTCCTTTGAAACGCTACTTGTCATGAACGACTGAGCAGATTTTGACTCAATTTGGTCAGAAGCATCATTGGGGGAAGGGGAACAAATTTTGTATAAATGGTGGGTATGGCCCCCCTGGGGGCTGAGGGGCGGGGCCCAACAGGGGCCCAACAGGGGCCCAACAGGGGAAATATAGGAAATTCTTTAAAATCCTTTTTCTTCTGTAGGAATGAAAGGATTTGTTCCATATTTGGTCTGAAGCATCCTTGGGGGAAGGGGAACCAATTTTGTATAAACCGGGGGTCTGGCCCACGAGGGGCCTGAGGGGCAGGGCCAAAAAAGGGAACACATAGTAAATTCTTTAAAATCCTTCTTCTTCTGTAGGAATAAAAGGATTTGTTCCATATTTGGTCTGCAGCATCCTTCAGTGAAGGGGAACCAATTTTGTATTAATGGTGGGTCTAGCCCCCCTGGGGGCTGAGGGGCGGGGCCCAATAGGGGAAACATAGCAAATTCTTTAAAATCCTTCTTCTTCTGTAGGAATGAAAGGATTTGTTTCATATTTGATCTGAAGCATCCTAAGGTAAAGGGGAACCAATTTTGTATAAACAAGGGGTCTGGCCCCTTAGGGGGGCCCAATAGGGAACACATAGTAAATTCTTTAAAATCCTTCTTCTTCTGTAGGAATGAAAGGATTTATTCCATATTTGGTCTGCAGCATCCTTGGGGGAAGGGGAAGTGATTTTGTATAAACCGAGGGGCCTGAGGGGCGGGCCAAATAGGGAACACATAGTATATTCTTTAAAATCCTTTTTCTTCTGTAGGAATGAAAGGATTTGTTCCATATTTAGTCTGAGGCATCCTTGGGTAAAGGGGAACCAATTTTGTATAAACTGTGGGTCTGGCCCCTTTGGGGCCCAATAGGGGAAACATAGCAAATTCTTTAAAATCCTTCTTCTTCTGGAGGAATGAAAGGATTTGTTCCATTTTGGTCTGAAGCATCCTTGGGTGAAGGGGAACCAATTTTGTATTGGGGTCTGGCCCCCCAGGGACCTAAAAGGGGGGCAATTGCGCTATGTTGCTATTAACTTTTTCTGTAAAATTATGCCATGGATATCGATCATATTTGGTCAGAAGCATTTATGGGAGGCAGGGATTCAAAATTGTACAAATGGTGGGGCTGACACCCCCCTACCGTGCTAAGGGGTGGGTCCAAAAACAGTTCATTCCTTGGAAATGGTTGAGATCCCCACGGTATAACCATATATACAATTGTGGAGTATAAAGAGAAGCATAGCCATTTGCTTCCAGGATGTTCTAGGTTCTGGCCCCACCCTTTGAGACATTGTCCCTGGGTCATAACTTTGAAACGGTTGAGATCCCAACCCCAGAACTGTATATACAAATGCTTGGCATAAAGAGACAAAAGTAGTCATGGTATTAGAATAGACCCTGGGGTCTGACCGAACCCCTAGGGACCTAGTTTCTTAGTCACAGCTTGGAAACAGTTGAGATCCCCACCCTATAGCCATGCATATATACAATTGTTGAGTATAAAGAGATGAATGCACATATGCTTCCAGGATGGCCTTGGGGTCTGCCCCACCCTTGCAGACTTAACCCCTGGGTCATAACTTTGAAACGGTTGAGATCCCCACCCCAATACAAATGCTGGACAAAAAGAAACGAATGCAGTCATGATATTAGAAATGATCCTGGGGTCTGGCCACAACCCTAGGGATCTAGTTTATTTGGAGTATATTTTGCTTTGTTTGCTTAGATATCCAGGTGAGCGATTCAGGCCCTCTGGGCCTCTTGTATTATCACATGATATTTATACATGTACTTAATTGTAACACCTCAATACTCTATTATATACAACAAACATTTATACATCTGTTTCAAAACAAAACAATTTATCATATTGGCCTGAGCACAGCTTTCATTGTTTATATTAGCTGCGGGAACCGTAGCTTCAGGGCCCGATCTTTTTAATTTAAACAATATTTTTTTATTTTTTTAAAAGTTCGGGCCTAGAAGCTACAGTTTCCGAAGCTATGTTTATATGTGACACAATCACTCGGTGTAGGCAGGGTGTTTGTAGCTGTGCAGTCTGTGCTGTGACAGATCGCAACAATACTTGTATGGCTACAATTAATCTGCTAGCATTCCAGCATAAACACACGCATTGAACACATAATCTGAAAGAAGAGTAGCATCCTAACCTACGAGGTTGATTTTAGCATCATAGCACCTTCAGGTTCACACAGGCTTAAAAAGCATGATTGGCTACAAAACCATCAGATTAATGGCTGGTAGATATAAGACAAAATGAAATCCAAATGTTATTTGAACAATAATTTACATACTACAAAATATTAGTGAAAAACACACACCTTAAATAAAATGATAGTGCCTAGCATTATAGAATTTCTCAGAGTAGGAATGTAGATATCCAATTAACATACAGTGTTCGGTCATGTGATCACTCAATAGGAACTTCCATGTTTAACCATTGCTGTGCAATAAAGCAGTCTCTTATTGTAGGTCGTCTGTTCATACACGTTCTGTTAACGTGAAATTAACAGCAATGGAGATTTTTAAGTCACCTGAGCTTTGCTCAAGTGCAAGACCATGCATTCTGATTGCTTTCTGTCCGTCATCGCATGTCGGCCGTTGTGTGTAATTTATTACATTTTTGGCTTCTTCTCAAGTACAAAACTTGCTAGGGATTATCCTTGGTAGAAGAGGATATCAAATTGTAAAAATGAAGTTTCCGCTTCACCCCAGAGGGCTTGGGCGGAGCTCAAAGGAGGAAATATGATAAAACTTTAAAAATGTTTTTCTTCAGACCCGGAAGTTCTAGAATCAAATTCTCTAGATGGATGGATATGTCTTAAAGTTCTCTATCAAATTGTAAATTTCACTATCCCTTGGTCATTCATTCTTCCCAGGGGAAGGGGTAAAGTTTCCTACAGTTTATATAGGGAAATAGCACTTTTGAGTATGTTTCTTATATTTTCGTGAGGAAATGAATTCAACTTGGCACAAATTTCTAAATTCTTCTTCTGTTTAATGATTGACTCAGGTGACCGCTAAAGCCCTTGGGTCTCTTGTTAAAAGTGGTCTCTTAACACAGGTGGTCTATTAAATAAGGTGGTCTCTAAAGCAGGTTTGACTGTAGTGTATGGGCGTTTGTTTTCACAGATCCCTACGTGAAGGTATCACTGATGTGTCAGGGGAAGAGAATAAAGAAGAGGAAGACATCGGTAAAGAGGAGCACGCTGAACCCCGTCTACAACGAGGCCATGGTGTTTGATGTGCCCCAGGAGAACGTTGACGATGTTTACCTAGTCATCAAAATGATTGACTACGATAGGTAGGCTTTCTCCTCAGTCAGAGTATATACTGTATACTGGGAAATGTTTGTCCAGTCAAACTTTTGCCCTTCACTCATAAATTCCACATTAGCCCTGTTTTAATTTCGCCTTTTACATTTAATTACTATGAATATTTTTTGTTTACAAATGTTTGTTGTAATGGTAAATTTGCCCTCAATAGGGAGGGCGAAAAAGGCGAAATTAAATAACTGCAGCAAAAAAATCCTGGTATACAGTATATGTCTAGTTTTACTTTTATCTTATTGATAAAGTACTTTTATTGTCCAAATCCTATGGCGAGGTAAAATTACTTTGACCAAATATACGTTGCTTTCATAGACAGATCTAACAAGGATATATTACCTACAGGACTTGAAACTTATGGGAAACTTCTGAAATGAAAGTAATTTATAAAAAAACATTGACTTTTATGATAAAATAAGTAATATAATTGACAAATGTTACAATTTCAGACATGGTTTGACCTTGATCTTTGGCCATGTTTTGACCTTTGTGTATGCCTTGGCATGATTTGAGCCTAAACGTTTATTTGGGGTTGACATCATTACGGATATACATGTAGTTCATCAGCCAACAAATGTCAAGGTGGACACCATGGAAAGGATAGCTATAGAGAAACAAAAGTGTGTATTGGGGGTCTACAGGGCCCTTAACCATTTGACGGTCATGCAGTAAGATTCTGATGTGACCTTGATGCATAACCTTAATGTATGACCTTTGCTGTATGTTACTGATAATTATATGCAGGCTCAGTGAGATATATATCATCAATGAAAACATCTACAGTGAAACTGGAGTTTATTGACACCTGACTCTACCTATACCTGTCAATTTACCAATGCCTGGCTTTAGTGACACCTGGCTTTACCAACACCTGACTTCACTGACATCTGACTTTATGGACACCTGACTTTACTGACACCTGGCTTAACTGACACCTGACTTAACCAACACCTGGCTTAACAGACACCTGGCTTCACTGACATCTGACTTTACAGACACCTGACTTCACTGACATCTGGCTTTACCAACACCTGACTTCACCGACATCTGGCTTTATCAACACCTGACTTTACAGATACCTGCCTTCACTGACATCTGACTTTACAGACACTTGACTTTATTGACACCTGACTTAACTGACATCTGCATTTACAGACACCTGACTTAACTGACATCTGCATTTACAGACACCTGACTTAACTGACACCTGACTTAACTGACACCTGGCTTAACTGACACCTGACTTTACTGACATTCACCGATATCTGACAATACATATGACTGAATGTCTCTGCACAATGGCACATTAGTCCAAAGGGTCCTGCCTCCCCTGATGTGAAAGTCCCAACATTTATCTGTATGTACCTATCTTGATAATTGCTCATGGTGGGGCACTAAAACTATAGCATATACCATGTATTTACTACTCAACCTCACAAATACATGCTAGAAACATTACCACTCAAAAATGGGAAATTTACTGTAAAAGTCCTCTGCAAGATTGTCTGCTAGATACTTCTATTCCTGATAAAAACATGATGTTTGTCCCTCGTAGGCCCTACTGAATGTCACCATCGGCAGCTCCTGTGTTTCGGGGGTTGACACTCGTATTATACAGTCATCAGAATCATCTGGGGTTGATCGATAGTGGAGGAAATTACCTACCGTAATTAAAATTATATTTGAAAGAAATAAATATTTTTAAAATGTCATCGTAAAATGTTCTCTTCAATTTGGAATTTGTTCTTTCAGTTTCTGATTTAAAGCAATAAAATATGAAATAATCTGCAATTTGGAATTTGTTCTTTCAGTTTCTGATTTAAAGCAATAAAATATGAAATAATCTGTTTTTTAGAGAAAGGTCTACACCTCAGTTTCTATTTTGAGCATGTTTTCCAGTGTTGGTGTACATTAAATATTTAACAATGCATTAAGATATAAAAATCAGTAGAATTATTTTCTGACATTGTAATTAATCAAAAAATGATTTTTTCATTTCTTCGATTGTATTTATGAAATGCATTACTTTTCCATTTTCAAGATAAGGATCCCAATCAATGTATATAATACACAGGATGTCCATTGGGTCTCTGTTGAATATTTTTTTATGCACTTATTTTCACAAATGACATAACACAAATAGATGAATATCCGGATATAAATGACAATCAATGGTATATCATTGAATTTCTGTTGATTTCATTTTTCAAATATCCTAATTGCCAGTAAATTGTCCAACATAGCATTGTAATATACTATTGTCTAACCGACCGAGCTAACTGGTCAACGAATGTGTTCTGGACCAAAAGCGCTACAATTATATCCCAAATGGAATTAAGGGGAGATAACTCTATATAGGAAAAACCTATAGTGTGGGACAGGGATTCTTACGTCACTTTTACTTAGTGATATTATCTGCAAATCAACTTTTGCTGATAATATAACAAAGTAAAAGTGACGCAAGACAGGTACAATAAGAGTGTTGTCCTGAAGAGGAGATACCTTGACTGTCTGCTCAGATTCCAGTTTCCAGACAAATTTTAAACAAATATAATAACAAGGGATGCAATCTAACAACTTTAATTACTTTAGACTGAGCCCTGTAAACATGAGGTAGTGTGTTTGGAGGCATTTAACTCTAGTGTACTGGTTTGGCTGGAGTTTGACTCTTGCTTGATCAGATTGAAGACAACATATATCATGTGAAGGACAACTTAACCCTTTCACTGCTGTAGACGGTAATGGACCCATCCAGATCAGTGCATGGCAGAGTCTATTAAAATAACATAGGGTGAAAGGACTAACAGCATCTTGAAATAATGATGTAGCTTTCGCTTATCTCTTGAGCCCTTGGTGATATTGTTTATGTCTCATTAAATATTGTATGTCGGTACGTGAATCACAAATAGAATAAGGAGGGATGATGATTAGATACCGTTGGGAAGTCGCTTTTGCAATTGGAAAAAAAAAATGTAATCTTATTGTGAGCCAGTGCTACTGGGAAAGTGTATCGGACTTTGTAAGAGGATGAATGACCTTGATACTGTAATCAGTTAGGAATGACAAAACATATACAACAGCAGCGGCCATTTTGAATGATTACATATTAAATAAAGTGACGTTTATAGGTGTGAAGTCGTACGTACGACCATTGAATTCCTTCACTGACAAATATGGCATGCAATGTTTTTCCATTGAAACATATACCAGAAATTATTACCAGAACAGACCAGTCTAATTTCCTTGATAAAAATTTATAGATTGTTCATACGGGATCCATATATATAAAATATTTGCAGACAATGTTATTATTTATGACACAATCATGATAAAGTACAGCATAACTGAATAAATTTGATCAAACTGAGCTATGTGGAATGAAAATTGGTTTGTTGTGGACATTCTCATATATTGCCTCAAGTATTATGTGGCCCTTGGTGCCATCGATGGAATCCTATCTGATTTGGCACCGAGGTAGCATCTAGGGACAGAGCTGCGTGTAACTAGATTGGATCAAGCCTTTCTCTGATCAGTGTTTTATATGTTTACAGGATAGGCAGTAATGAGGTGATGGGGTGCTGTGCCCTGGGGCCGAAGTATAACGGTATTGGCCGCGACCACTGGTTCGAGATGCTCGAGTCGCCCCGTAAGCCTGTTGCCCAGTGGTACGCTCTCCAGGAGCATGTGCCCTGCTGCAGCGACACAGCCAATGGCAAATGTAAGTTTGGCTGTCGACACTCGCGTCAGTCGACTGTCGACTCCAGCGAAGGAAGTACCTACTGATTAGCCAGATCATCCCATACATTTTGATTGGCTGTTCGATGATCACCAGATTGTGCGAATTGATCACATGATCAGTTTTGATTGGCTGTAGAGATGCACTTGGTTTGATATTGGCCATCTTTGATTGGTTAGTCTCCTGACAGACCAAAAAGGATGTGAGAAGACCGAAGTTATAGACGATGCAGTTGATCAATCTGCGGCTGACAGCAAGCGGATTACCAATGGATGATTGCACCAGGCCAATTTTTCCTTGACGCAGATCAACAGTTTGAGCTGCATTGTGAGACCGTATTGGAGGAATGTTGTGTCTAGTTTACCCAAGAAAATGAAAAAGACAGTTGTACATGTTTATCTATATTGTAGAGTGAACCTTTCTCTCTACGTATTATAGACACTGATACTGAAATATCCAGAAAACCATGAAATCTGCACGAGAACCAAAAGACACATGTGTAGACCATATTTACGACTGTAGGAATTATAGATGTGGGTGTATTGTATATGTCTTCACTAAACTTCGTCAAAATATGCAGGTCACAAATTAGAATGTTGATATAAGGGTTACTCACACTTGTACTTTTTTGAGCACATATAAAATACAGTAAAACATGTTTTTAACTTACACCAGAGGGACCTGTAAAAAAAAAATGTTACTTTAAAAAGGCATAATTTGTTATCATTTTGCTGGTTATAAGAATGTGGGTAATAAGTGTTGAGTATATGACAAATGAATAAACTCAAATCTAGGCACTTAAATTGGAAGGTGTAGTTGACACAATGGATGATTTCGAAAACTTTCCAGTACAATGTATCATGAAGATTAAAATAAATCGCTGTCATGTTGTTTTAATACTGTAAGATGACTGTCTACAAACACTGCTCAACACTGAATACAAAAATAGTCCTTAAACAGTGGTAGGCTTGAAAAAGCTACAATTGGACGATTTTAATACTGGTTGTTATGGACAGGTAGCAGTTATAGGCATGTGGTAGCTACAGACAGGTGGTCACTTTAGACAGGTTGTAGTTACAGCCATGTGGGAGATGAATGGTAGTTGCAAACAAACAGTATAGTTATGAATAGATGGTTGCTATCTAGATAAGTGGTTTTCATAGACAGGTGGTAGTTACAAATAGATGGTAGTTATAAACAGGTGGTAGTTATAGTTAAGTGGTAGAAAGAAATAGGTGGTAGTTATAAACAGGTGGTAGTTGTAATAGACAAGTGGTAGTTGTAATAGACAAGTGGTAGTTGTAATAGACAAGTGATAGTTGTAATAGACAAGTGGTAGTTGTAATAGACAAGTGGTAGTTGTGGTAGTTGTAATAGACAAGTGTTAGTTGTAATAGACAAGTGATAGTTGTAATAGACAAGTATTAGTTGTAATAGACAAGTGGTAGTTGTAATAGACAAGTGATAGTTGTAATAGACAAGTGGTAGTTGTAATAGACAAGTGGTTGTTGTAATAGACAAGTGGAAGTTGTAATAAACAAGTGGTAGTTGTAATATACAAGTGGTAGTTGTAATAGACAAGTGATAGTTGAAATAGATAAGTGGTAGCTGTAATAGATAAGTGGTAGTTGTAATAGATAAGTGGTAGTTGTAATAGACAAGTGATAGTTGAAATAGATAGGTGGTAGTTATAGTCACATAATAGACAGGTGGTAGTGATAGACACATAATAGGCAGATGGTAGCTATTGACATAATAGACAAATGGTAGTTATAGCCACATAATAGGCAGATGGGAGTTATGGTCACATAATAGACAGGTGGTAGTGATAGTCGCATAATAGGCAGATGGGAGTTATAGGCACATAATAGACAGGTGGTAGCTATAGTCCCATAATAGGCAGATGGGAGTTATGGTCACATAATAGACAGGTGGCAGCTATAGTCACATAATAGACAGGTGGGAGTTATAGTCACATAATAGACAGGTGGTAGTTATAGTCACATAATAGACAGGTGGTAGTGATAGTCACATAATAGGCAGATGGTAGTTATAGTCACATAATAGACAGGTGGTAGTTATAGACAGGAATTGGCTATAAATAGGTGGTAGTTATAAACAGGCATTGGCTATCGATAGGGGGGAGTTATAGACAGGGATTAGCTATAAATAGGAAGCAGTTGTAGACAGGTATTGTCTATAAATAGGTAGTAGTTATAGACAGGAATTGGCTATAGATAGGAGGTAGTTATAGACAGGGATTAGCTATAAATAGGTTGTAGTTAGAGACAGGTTACAGTTATAAACAGGGATTGGCTATAAATAGGAGGTAGTTATAAACAGGTATTGGCTTTAAATATAGGTGGTAGTTATAAGCAGGTATTAGCTATAAATAGGAAGTAGTTGTAGACAGGTATTGGCTATAAATAGGTAGTAGTTATAAACAGGTATTAGCTATAAATAGGAAGTAGTTGTAGACAGGAATTAGCTATAAATAGGTAGTAGTTATAAACAGGTATTGGCTATAGATAGGTGGTAGTTATAGACAGGTATTGGCTATAGATAGGTGGTAGTTATAGACAGGTATTGTCTATAAATAGGTAGTAGTTATAAACAGGTATTGGCTTTAAATATAGGTGGTAGTTATAGACAGGTATTAGCTATAAATAGGAAGTAGTTATAAACAGATGGTGGTTATAGACAGTTGGTAGCTATAAGTAAGTGGTAGTTATAGACAGGTGGTAGATGTAATTAGGTGGTACATATAGACAGATGGTAGTTGTTAAATGATGGTAGATACAAACATATAGTATATGATTATTAACATATGTTTAAGATGATAGACATTTAGTAGTTTTAGACTTTTGATAGCTACAGATGGGTGCGGGTCTTTAAGGTTATTTGCTGCAGACACTGATCACTTTTCATAAAATCTCCCACCCCAAGCTGCATTGAAAAATTTACTCTTTAATTTGAGGAAAATGTCCTACACTGATGTGAGCCCAGATGAAATACCTTAATGTACAATTTATCTGAATGACATTAAATAGCAATGCTAAATCTTGAAATGAGACAAACCGGCATCTACATTATTTTCAACTCTGAAGTTTTCAAAATCATCCATTATTAAGCTATATCAATATCATCACAACTGATATATATACTTGCAGAATGATTGATGGAGGATATCATATATGCCTATCTGTAAGTATAGGATAAAACAAGCTCAAAATCAATACTTGTATGCAATATAGATGTACAAAAAATACCATGCACTTGTATTTCGATAGAAGACAGTTTTACCTAGGTGTCACAGCAACATTTATATTGTAGAACATGGTTCTTATATTTAAAGCTAAATAACAAGAAGATTTGTAGAAAATGGTTGTATGGGCAGACTAGACAGAACAGGTATGAGAACCGATTTATGTGTAAGAGCTTACAGAAAAATGACAGATTGATGTAAAAAAAGCTTACAGACATTTATTGATTGATTGCAGAGTTTACACAAATGTGACAGACTTGTAAGAGAGCTTACAGTATATAGAGAGAGACTAAGGTAAAATTGTGCAAAAGAGCCCACAAACATTTAAAGAGCTTACTGAAACATTTATACAAGAGCTTACACACCAAAGCTCACAGACATGTATAGAGCTTACACAATAACCAACAGACTTTTGTAAAAGAGCTTATTTAGACATAGCTTACACAATAACCAACAGACTTATGTAAAAGAGCTTATTTATACATAGCTTACACAATAACCAACAGACTTATGCAAAAGAGCTTATTCAGACATACTTATGTAAAGAACTTATTCAGACAAAGCTTACACAATAACCAACAGACTTATGTAAAGAACTCCAATAGACTGATGTAAAAGAGCCTATTCAGACACCTTCAGGAAAACTCACAAACAAAATGGAAGCTTACAGATTTATGCAAAAGAGCTTACAGACATGTGTAGCAGGGATTATCAACATCATTATGTAGGAGAGCTTATACAGATGTATAGAAAAGCTGACACATAAAACCATCAGACTGATGAAAAAGAGCTTACAGACATGCCTAGAAGACCTTACACACAGAAATAAACAAACTCCTATGATAGAGCTCCCAGATTTTTATATAGGGATCTCATTCACCAAACCAGACTGACATTAAAGAGCTCTAGATAAACGTCAACATAAACACTTGCACACCAGTGAGAGTTTCTACAGGTTAGGAAGAAATATTACAAAAGGGATCACATTTGTGCAGAAATGTTTGAAGGAAAAGTTTCGTAAACAAATTTGTTGAAAATTGTAAACAAACATGCGACAGATTTGAAGAAATATTACACAAGTATCAATGTTCTTACGTAAACAAAAGAATGATACTGAGTAAAATTGACTCGTCTTGGAGACAGATACCGAATGAGAGTTAGTGGGACGTTTCTGATGGATGTCTAATGCCCCAGGAAATAGTAAACTGGACTATTATGGTAATGTAACCGTGACAACAGATGTGTGTTATGTTGAGGCGTTATATATATGTGTGATGTCCTATATATATACCTGGCCTATATGTGTCAGTCGTATTCCAGCATGCCACACTTTGTATATATACCCACAATGCTTTGACTGTTTTTCGTGTAAAACAATAATACCGTTTTATAAAAACAAACAAAAACACAATAAAATATTTGTCATTTAAAGTTGATATAAAATGTATATAATTTTGAAATTATAAGTAGATATATATAGACGTGAGTTTTAATTAGGAGACTAGACACTCGCCTGACACAATGATTACACGTATACAGACATATCCAATTTATAATCACAAGCTTCGCTTTGTGCCGTTTTTATTATAGCAAGTAGAGAACTCTCTAGTTTTGTGAGGTTAAAAGTCTGAGAGCAGCTGGAAATGGTATTTCTAGGTCACATTTATAAAGCAGGCTAAAAACGATTGATGGCTTGTGTGACATTCTGGAATATCAGAGAATAGAATCATTTCTGAGGCCACTGCCTGGCAGAATAATATCATTTCCAGTGTGGTGTTTGTGTATGGAAAATCTGTCAATATCATATTTTAACTTTCCGAATACGGTAATGAATATAGCCGGAATAACTGCTTATAACTTATTAATTCCTTAAGTGAGTTTCATTCATTTATATTCATTGCAAAAATTGATCTTTGAAAATAATTAGGTCATTCTAATTTGAATTCATTACAAACTCTGAGATTAAATATATTAAATTGTTTACAGTAACATGAGGAATTTATATAGTACCATAAATTTGTTTATGCTGATGCTTAATCATATGTAAAAAATATATATTTTTCAGGTGGTAGTGTTGAATATGTCCTGTGTAAATATTGTAGATATCTGTCAGATATAACACTATAGATCTATAAACAATCTACATCTCCATCAATAGTGGGGACAGTCTTGTACCGATTTGTGTCAAGGTCAGCCAAGTGAACTTAAGGGGCTTCTTGCCTTAGATGATTCTGCCTTTTCCCCCTCCTTAATGAGGACAAATTTATCATGACAGCAAACATTTGTAAACAACATATTATATATATATAGTCATTTAATATGAAGGGCATATTTCATCTTTGGGAAAATGGATTTACCATCAAAGGTAGAACATTTCTGGTATATAATAATTTGTGTTTAACATATATTACAATATTCCAAACATATTAAATTGTACCAAAGCATATTAATTATACATGTTCGTTTATATCAAAATTTTATCAGCCCAGCAATTTTTACATTTTACTCATCTAATGCCATGTGATGGTTGTTCTTTAGCTCAGAGTTGTAAAATATCAGATTTTTCATACAATTCAACCATTTATTGAGACTTCAAAGCATGTTAGATTTAGAAGTGTAAATTGCTGATGCCATGTATACTGCGCTTGCTATGTTAAACAAAAATTCAACAAAGATTTTCTCTTTCTGTGTGCGAGACGGGCTGATGTAATTGGTCAATGTGATTTGTTAATAAAACAGAACATGTGTTTCTGAGATCAGTTTTTGGTACCCTCATGTTATTTAAAACTAAATTCATCCTTCACCTTGGTTTTATTATTATACTATTTTATCAAAAATATATGTCAGACAGATTGAGTGTTTCCTGCTCTATAAAGGTATATGTAGTTTCGGTGAACTACACGTCATGAAATATATCCGGTTGATTCTTCTTATGTAATTGATAGACAGATTAACGCATAACTTAGTT